AAAAGAAAAAAAAAAAAAAATTTACACTTTAGATGTATCCATCAAAGAATTATTCCCAGTATTTTCTTGCAAAGATCACTAGGCACCACTTTGTGTGGGATCTTGTCCTATACCTGCTCAGGATCAGCAGGCCCTTGGAGAGCCCATGATCTCTGAGGTAGAGAATCTATAGGTCATAAGGACAGATTTTACAGGAAAATACCCACTTTTGAGTTGAATTTTTATTGAAGTGTTAGGACATTCCTTCTAATTTTGAATAAAGTTAAAGCACCAGATAAAAATGGTTTTCTAAATTTATGACACTTCTCACTAATGTATCTTTAAACTTTTTTTTTTTTAATACAAAACAGGTTTTTCCATGCATTTAGAATTTTCCACTATTTCACTTGGTGATACTTAACAATATTTTTCAAAATAGCACTTTATCCACACAGCACTTTAGTGTTTTTATAGAGTACTGAAAATAGTACAACATTCTAAGTACAATAATTAGGACGGTTAATTGCATTTAGGAGAGGCAGGTAGGTTCTAAGGAAAAGAACTTTGTATGGAATGTAAGTTTTATTGAGACAGTCCTTACACTTCCTTTAGTTCCTTCAAATAAACTAATGTTAAAGAGACAAAGAATTATGGCTATCTTTATCAATATTCACTACCAATGTACCATTACCCTCCTAGGTAACTTAAAAGATGTTGAGGAAGATAAACAGACATTCTCGGAAGCTCTTCCACAGGAACATGCCCTGGGCCTTTCTTTGGGAGCATGCAGTACTGAGCACAGCTGTCTTGCGGAGGTAACAAACTCCCTGGCAAGCGGCTGCCCGTGCCCCTTGTGCGGTTTCTACACATGCGGGTGCCTATAAGGGCTGCCCTCGGGACATCTTCCTGTGCACTTTCTGGTGCTGGATGAGGTGCCCGTGCTGGTTGAAGGCGCGCCCGCACTCGCCACACTCGTAGGGCTTCTCCCCGGTGTGGATGCGCTGGTGCTGGATGAGCACCGAGTACTGGCTGAAGGCCTTGCCGCAGCTGTTGCACTCGTACGGCTTCTCGCCCGTGTGAGTCCTCAGGTGCACGATCAGAGTTGCCTTCAGGCTAAAGGCCTTCCCACACTCTGTGCACTGGAAGGGCTTCTCGCCTGTGTGGATTCTCTCATGCTGGATCAGCGAGCGGCGTGCGCTGAAGGCATGCCCACACTCATTGCACACGTAGGGTTTCTCCCCGGTGTGGACCCTCTGATGCTGGATCAAGTGCGAGTGCTGCACGAAAGCCTTGCCGCACTCGTAGCAGGCGTAGGGCTTCTCCTCCGTATGAATGCGCTCGTGGTTCATCAGGGTGGAGCGGTGGCTGAAGGTCTTGCCACACTCACTGCACTCGTAGGGCTTTTCCCCAGTGTGCACGTTGTGGTGCTGGATGAGGACAGAGCGGTCGCTGAAGGCTTTGCCGCACTCACTGCACGTGTAAGGCTTCTCCCCGGTGTGGCTCCGCTGGTGCTGCATCAGAGTCCGCTTCACACTGAAGGTCTTCCCGCACTCAGCACACTGGTGGGGCTTCTCCCCGGTGTGCACCCTCTGGTGGCTCCTCAGGACTGTGCTGTGGTTGAAGGCCTTCCCACACAAGGGACACACATATGGCCTCTCTCCTGTATGGATGCGCTGGTGCTGAATGAGATGAGAGAGCTGAGTAAAGGCTTTCCGACACTCTAGGCATTCATGAGGCTTCTCACCTGTGTGGATCTTGTGGTGCTGAGCGAGGTCTGAGCTCACTCTAAAGGCTTTTCCACACTCGTTACACTCATAAGGCTTCTCCCCCGTATGGATTCTCTTATGCTTGCTAAGAACAGAGCTTTGGCTGAAGGCTTTCCCACACACATTGCATACATAGGGCTTCTCACCAGTGTGGATTCGCTGATGCTGAAGGAGATGGGAGCTCCGACCAAAGCACTTCCCACACTCGATGCATATGAAGGGTCTGTCCCCATTGGGAACTGCCTGGTGCTGAGACAGTGGCTCCTTTCCCTTTGCGCCGTGAGCCTCACGGTGGCCAGCAGGGCTTGGACTCAGGCAGAAGCTCTGTTTGGTGTTACGTTCTTGATCAGTTGCCCCTAAAGGTGTCTTCTTCAGAATGGGTGCTACCTCTTCTGAAGTTAACGGCTTTAGGCTCAAGTCTGTGTTTAGGTTGTCTTCCTTGGTTTTGCATTCTGAAACAACAAATCCAAAATGAAAATGTTAATACGATTCAAAATCGTGAAGTATAGCCTTGAAGATGGTTCTGTCAAGTAAGGGGAGGGATCAGGCACAGAATTTCCACAAAGGGATGCCCAAGACTAGTGGGGAGGTTGGAGAGGAAGGGGTCATCTGTAGTCTGAGCAGACAGGCATATGTTAGAGAGGACACAGCCCAGAGTGTCCCTTTGCCCCCAGAGCTGTCCCATGGACTGAGCTTCACAAGACCATGCAGAACAGGAAGAAACACAGGACCAGGCAAGATCAGCAAAGCACTGCTGGGCAGCACGTGAACAGCAGAACCTGTCCTGTGTGGGCAGGGCGCAGTCTGTGCATGTGCGATTTGAACCTGGGGAACTGCAGTGACCTCTTTGGGAAGGCAACTTCTTGTTGGACCTGCACTGGGAGTAACTGCATTAGTACATGTTTGTGGTTATATTTTTTTGCTTCTCTGTTTCCATACCTGGTAATTTTTGATTAGATGCTAGACATCACAGATTATCTTGCTTTGGTGTTATTTCTGTATTCCTATAAATATTATTGAACTTTGTTCTGCTATGTGTTTAAGTTACTTGGAACTAGTGTTGGAGCTGTTTCTCCCCACAAATGAGGCCAGGATTGTCACTACTCTAATATTTCACATACTATGAAATTTTCCATTGTGGCTAATGGGAACACTTCTTGCTACAACTCTCCATCTTTAAGGAGGCCATCAATAGTGCATCATGCTTTCAATCTCTGACCTCTAAAACCAGATGAAAAGGCTCTGTCTTTAAAGGCAACAGCGTCGTGCAATAAACATAACTGGGAGAGTAAAATCCGTCATATTCGGAGTCCTACGGACTATGCAAAGGGTGAGGATCCTAAAACCTGGCTCACAGTGATACTGATTCCTCCTGGTAGCTCTTTCCTGGCCTTGGACAATTTCCTCACATGCAAATGCTGATCAATACTAAATGCAGCACTTGAGGGAACTTTCCTGCAGATCTTTACACTTCTGGTTGTGGACCCGATTCCTCTTTGTTACTCTTTTGTGTGATTTTCAGCCACTTCAGCTTCACTGGACTCACAGATGTCTCAACTCAGGAAGCTCTCTCAAGGCTCCCCGCCTGGTGCTGCAACCTTCCCCAGGCTCAGCTGGGATAATTGTACAGCTCACCTAGTTACTGATCCTCAGGAATGACTTTTGCTGACTTGTTTCTAGTGAGAATCTGATGTCCAATATCCTGAAAGCTGTGTATTACATACCTTGTCCACTTTCCTGGTCATTTCACAAGGTAAAGTAAATCTGGTGTGTTACTTTTCTTTTCTTTTTTTAAAAAATGTATTTGGTACAGGGTCTCACTATGCAGCTTGGACCATAGTGATCCTGTTTTCACTCTCCCCAGCACTGGGATTATAGGCGTGTGCCACCATGCCTG